TATATATATATATATATATAAGCATACATAAATATTAAATTATATGTAGAGATATGTAGGGATCTGCGAGTGGGGAAACATCTGCTATCTAGGGAAAGGGTTTCCGCAGTTCATGGAAACTGATTCGGAATATATTAGAAATCTGAAGATGTGAAATGAACCTAGGGCAATGTTAATGTACTACCTAAGGGCATGTTCAGCGGCCTAGTTCCATGCTGTATGTTTCACCGAGTCAGTGACGAGTTCTAAATTAAAAAAAGTATGAATGCTTTTAGCAAATATTATTAGTCCAGCGAAATACATGGTACTGTACCAACTCATATGCCTATCTAAGATTCAGTTTTCGCTTTCAAGCTAGCACGCAAAGGAAACAGCTTAAATGAATTACGATATAAGTTTCCATTTATCCAATCAAGAGAACTTCCATGCTGTCCAATCCGCCGCGCGTAATGTTTTACATTATTATGAAATCTATTTATAGATGGGACATTCTTTTCTACTTCCATTTGAGTGATTCCTTTATTCATTTTTATTTAGTGAACTATTCATCACAGACATAGCCATTCTATCATCTGTCTTTCTAGTGCATAACCTCCATGACCTTAGCGTGCAGGGAGTGGTTGACACAGCGGTTGCGGTTGTGTTCTCAAGTCTGAGGTCAGTGGTTCAAATCTCGATCTCGCTGTACATTTCGAATGTGTCTGCATGCACAAGGCTCTTTTTACCTGGTATGCGGCTAGGCCTAAGATGATGTGGCATTAAACTACTGTAGTCTACCCGCTTTGCAGTACGACTAGGTACCGGTATTATTAACTCTACTTTTATATTTTCGTATTTAATGTCATAGGCCTATAAATAATATTACTGAACCTCAATCTGTTAAATTTAATTAAAGCTAATAGATTCTAAAATAGAGAGCATCCCTCTTGTTTTGCATCCGCCTCTGGTATCTAAATGTTGTACACGCTCCCTTGGTCTCTTTTCGAAACCCCTGGGTATCAAACGGTGACACGCATCTCATTAATGTCTTATCGTGGATTAATCCCTGTGATCCGCCCCTGTAATTGAACGGTATTAATTTTTGCATTCTCAATATTCTGGATACGCCCCTGAGGTCAAACATTTTTGAGAACAATGTCCGCCAACCAATTACTTATAGGACTATGTTATGTATAGGCCTATTACGTATGGTATTTAGTTGCTTGAATAGATGAATTCTTTCTATATTTAGTCGCATCAAGACAAAATCACACAACATTGTCTACACAACGCACGAACTGCAAATTTATATTTCCGTTACCAATTAATAACTTTATGACAGATTGCAAACAATTTGATAAGCCGCCGGAGATTGGATTTCAATATTCTTGTCGGTTACATTGTTTATTATAACTAATGTTTTGATTAGTAGTCATATAAGCAAACAAATAGTTATCACCAGATTGATCAATACCTCAGGTATTTTTGACATTAGGTAAAACGTTTCGATTTCATTGTGACACAATTGAAAAGGTGATTATTAGATATTAACCTCACGTGGGCCTAGCTTAGAGGAACACCGACACAGCGTGAGGTACACAATGTCACCAATAATTGTTAAAAGGGTTTTTACTATTATTAGTAATGCGTCGGTGTTTTAATAAAAAATAAAATGCCCGCGTCGAGTTATAACAGCTTATAAGATTTCAAAGACATACCCAACCAAAACAGTTGTTTATGCCAACTCATTCTTCCCCAGTACAACTAAGGAGGGGAACAACTTACCCCAAGTTTTTTTTTTAAACAGCCCTCACTCCTTACCACCGCGCCTCAAATTAAAAATGTAATTGGAGAGCCATGTTGATTTGATCTCAATTACACATATAAACGCCATTAGGAGATCTAGGCTCGTAATAAAACATTTTCATTTGTAAATCATATACATGTTGCGACTGCGCATGTAACCATCAAGAAATTTGACTTTAATTGATTTCAAATCCCCTAGGTACCGGTAATGAATTCGGGAAACGAAAATCGACTTTAAGTATCTAAATGTACATATAACACGGCATCATGATAACATCAGACCACGCACTCTCGCTTGGCTCGTTAGTCGGACCAGGCTATAAGGTTGGATATGATTTGATGTCATCTGACTCTGGTGTACATGTTGTCCTTCACAATGCATTACTCTTCTCATTTTTGAAATTTAGAAATACAGTATTTGAGAAAAAAATGGCGACTGCCAAAAAATTAGATCTATTTCGTCAAATCGATGGATGCATAACTATGCTCACCAAGTTTCATAGAATGTGTTATTTTATGCCTAATATCCGGTAAATGGAGAAAATTATACTCTGCTCTAATAACATCATGGAGATCCATGCTTTTGCGAAGTTCACAAACGAATCTGTATGGAATTAAACATGGCCACAACGTTACTAAGATTAATATCTTTTTAAAATCAATCGTATTATTATTTTGATACGTAACTTAGACTTTGCACAGTCTGGTGATTGTTACTTCCATGCTTAGATTGATATTAATATCCCACGTATTCCAGTAATTCAGACAAGACTGGCTTAATTTTTTTGGGCCCGCTCCAACCTTTGATTGTTTGTATGCAATGTGCATAGCCTCAAAATATGAGCACCCGGTAATAACTACGGAATCGACCGCTACATAATAAGCACGAACTACTACACACTTGCCATACCGTACTACATTTAGCTGTATGAAAAACCAATTAAGCAGGCCCCTACGGTATTCAGTGTTGAATCTAGAAATTCGAAATAAAAGTGGGGCCAGGAAGAGACTCTCATAGACACAGTGTTCGAAACACCTCAGCGCCACCATTGTGGTTATGTACTTGATTTTTTTTCCCGTTTTATGTATTATTGTATCTTTCCGTTTTGTGTATTTTATTGCATCTTTCCGTTTTGGGTATTTTATCATTTTATTGTATCTTGTGGATAGCTCTTAAAGCCTGTTTTCCACTAGGCGAATTTATTCGCGCGAATCAAATCTTCGATTTCTGAGCTTTGGTTGCGCATTTTTCCGCTTCGCAAAAAACTTGATAGAAATGTGAATGCGCATGCGTATGAACCGATGCTTTCGATTCGCGCGAATAAATTCGCCTAGAACCCTAAAACCGTCTTGATGCCTTTTCGGGCGTTACTAACTTGAAAAACAGAAATGAATTTATACCGTATTTCATTGTACGATTGTACAAATGTGGTGTCTGACAACCTACCTGAATCGAACACGTCTACAAGAAACTGTAGAGGGACAGAGCTGAGTGCATCATCTGGGTAATCAACTGCGAAGTCTTCAATCATCACAGCAGCAGCATACCATCCAATATCACCCGATGCATCAAAACTAAGCTTACACTTCATCTACAAAACAACACAAATCTAAATAAAAAACCGCTTTTATTATGCAATTAATAATTCTTAATATTGTAGCTACCTGTCCAGGAATGGAGGGGGGCAGGCGGGATGCATGTGTAGAGGCGTGGGATGAAACCGTCTGACTCTAATTTAGACAACAACTATCTTTGTGTCCCGATTGACTTATATAATAATAACCAAAATATCATACCACGAGGTAAACAAACATCGTATCCTATTGATATGAATCACATAGACCTTACACGTCACAACGCACATTGTATATTATTAACTTTGATTTTTATCATCGACTATCAAAACCAATTAGCGTGTGACAATTCTGAATTGTGTTAAACATATTCCCATGACGTGCATTACTTTAACGGAAACAATAAAATAAAATAAACACTAACTGCTGAATTTACCGTTTTCTGATTTTCATGATGGCCACATGTTATAACGATCATTGATTTACTAATTTTTTAACGTGTTATTAATGAATGGAATGATGCTAAAGACTCCATCATTGTTATTACAATGTTTATAAATAATCTACTGTAATCGTCGTAAATTCCATCTGATGTATGATTTGTAACCCAATACTATTTAGATGTTTAATATAAAGTTTGGGCGTGGGGTTGTTCGAGAGAAACTGATAGAAAAAGTCCTGGTGTCACATGAACCCAGAACCACCTGACTAGTGAGCGAGCATCTTAACCACCAAGTCACAGCTCCAATCCTTATTTATTGTATTGAATTCATAACACGATGGTTTGTGGAACTGTTTCAAAAAGATTAGCACTAGACTTATGATCGATTGAATCAGGGGCGGATCCAGAGATGTCCAAAAGGGGGAGGGGGTGGCGAAAGGGAGGCCGAAAGTTGGGCCGATCGAGACAGCACTGTCCCAGAGGGTCCGGGGGCTTTCCCCCGCGAAATTTTTGTGGTCCTAGACGCCCGAAAATAGCATTTGAGACGTTCTGGGCTATCATTTTTCTTTCTTTTTTTCTTCCCCCCCCCCTTTTTTTTTACTTCCAAAGGAGAGGGGGGAGTGCGGGTCCGGGCGGCCCCACTAAATCCGCACATGTGAATGGTACAGTATTGATGATAAAAAGAAAGTGGTGCATGATGAAACACGTAGGTGTCAACAAGAGACGATGGACTCACGATCAACTTAATTTAGGTCTAGGCCTGTTCATAGTTTCATTGGTTCAAACCCTTTTCTTATTATAACCATCACTATTAGCTTTTGTCTATTAAATCACCCTTTATTCATACGCGCCATGAGCTTTCCCTTAGAAACCAGTTATTTTTTTTTTATTAATACACTCTTTTTGAATACCCGGTATTATCCCATTGTATCTAGCAACGTTCCACGCCAATGGAGCTATATATAAGATATTTCAATTCACATAAATTATTAGGGAAAATTTGTCAGGATTACAATAGTTCTAATGCCATACGAGTGTTACAAAGGTGTAGCGTTGTATCCGTCGTGTGATAACAATAATATGCATTATGCTTATGGAACGGTTAACTAAAACCAGAGAAAATATATTTATACTACGGGTTTAATTGCAGGTAATAGTACAGCACTGATTTGTGTTGCTGTATTATGAGGATTTATAGGAGAATTGAGAAATGTCGAAATACTTACAGTGTATAAGGCCTTTACATTTATAACTCACTTCTATGATACTGTATAACGAATGTTTATTCGCGTGCAATGGAAAGAATGAACGTTGAATATTTGACTATTATATTCTAAGAGGCGGAGCCGAGTTGAATGGCTTATTTCATCTATCAAATGAAAATATTCTTTCCATGGCACTCATGTCGTTGTTTGTATATGTCATGAACCATGTTTAGAGGTTTGATTGAAGGTATGAGAGGTCTGTCTGTGCTACGCGTTGTCTCAACACATTCCTACTTTTTTATTTTACAAGCGTGAAAATGTCTTGTATCGCAAGTAGACAATTGGGGCTGTGTCCCATGGAACAATGCGCCGCTCAAGTATCACCGTGTAAGGCAAACATTCAAATTGAATCTTATTATCTACCTGTAGACCTATTCTAAAGTAGGCTTACGGTAAATTTGGACACAGCCTTAAGGAGGCAGCACTTTGTCATGTTAACCGAATACACGAAGCTCAAAGGCAAAGATATACCAACGAATTAATGTTTTTTTTTTTACTTTTAGGCTGAGAAAACCTCAATTTGTGCAATTCTGACTCAGGACTAACACAAATTATTCCCGATGCTGCGCTGTGCGTTGCATGTGTGCGACGATTGTAATTCTCAATAGTTATACCATTTTTACGAATCTTGAAAGTATGCTGTTTTGAATTTGACGCTGACCCATGCTCAAGTCAATATAAACACTTTGATAAATAGCTGGCAATTTGACTCCCATTGGCGATCCATTGGTAAACATAACGGCCTCACATCAAGAATACCACGAATTAGCTGTATCGTTTGTTTTATCTAGGTAACAGTTATGCGTCCATATTTTACACCTGAAGACGAAAGGAATACATCATCAGAACACGTCATCTTTTAGGTCCACTAATTTGAGTCTTCCTTAATCCGTATTGCTACCTTCATTTTTTAATTCGGCCGCGGAACGGAAAGTTGGTATTCAAACAATGAATGATGGAAGGATTATGAGGACTAAATTCATTTTAAATAATCTCACAAACTTAATATTATTTTGTTTTATGAATTCGCTGCAGTTTGATCGTCTGTGTCTCCTAGAGTACTTTAGACTATATTACTCCAGATTATTGTGCATCAGACTTATGCAAAGCTTATGTAAATAATATTCAAATCCTAAGTATCAAGAATTCACGCCGTATGTACACATCATCTTGGTTTTGGATTGACAAACGCCAGACAATCAATATAGGCAAACTGAAATTGAATTTGTGACATGACAATAATTGTCACGTCGCAATACAAACGTAATGATAGCAGACGAAAATAGCAACTACTCACCTCATCGAGACTGAAACTGGCGGGTTGGTTACAAGCTACCTTCTCTGGTCGTCTGCCTCTTTCTGGTACACATTCGCCCAGGTCAGCCTTTGGCCATCTGCAGCGAACCTCGTCCTCATCAGGATCAGTTACTGTAAACAGAACGTTATAATGACAATAATATACAGAATTTAATATTATTCGTATGACCGTTTTATGACTATCTTTGACGTTAAAAAAAAAAAAAGAACTCCAGAAGTTGTAATGACTACGGTACCTTATGTACTTTAAGAACATGAATCAAAAACTAAATATTATGATTGACATTAGAACTGCGTAAATCGGTGCAACGGATCTCTATTCACGTCAAATATAAATGATTGCATTACAATTTAAAATTCAATTCACACCAATGTGCAAAGTATGCACACCTTCTTGGAACGAAAATAAGCTACCCAAGGCCGAAAAGCCTACATTAACGTTACGATTTACAATGAAAAGTAATGGTGATTGAATTGAAGCGTTGCTGGATTTTAGGCCCTTCACATCTACCATTTTTATTAGAATTATCCCTGTAAATGATATTATAATTTAAAGGCCTAAGTCTTAATTTAACTACCAAAATGGAGTGAATATAAAAATGCTGTGTGGAATACAAGACATCTTGACAAGACTAGTTTATTTGGCGGGACGGATGCAGACCAAAAACACCGTATCATCGGATCTAGAATACCGTAGCTTGTCACTTTCGGTCAAAATTTCATCCAAAATATCTCAAACCGTAAATAACTTGAAACAAGTTACCTGGGACGGTAATTTTCCTGTTACAGCCCTTCGGGATTCGTATGATTGGTAACATAGAGGTGACGGGTGATGAGTTGAGTAAACCGTTGTCTGGTCGCGGATTAAGATTAATACGGGGTACTATTGACCAGCCAATTGACTCGCCGAAGTTCTCAAGTTCAATCCAACAGCAATCGACAAACCTGGGGGATTAGAAAACAAATGATAGAAAAAAAAAACAACATTTTTTAATACGATGACCAATCTAGTAGTGGATAAACAAATACAAACTAGTAAATACATTCAACTAAATATTGAATTAGACTGTCAATCCTAGCAGGCTTATCATAAAACAAATAGACGGAAAAATCAGATTAATATTTGGGAAGTGGTTTTTTTTTTTGGTTTTTTTTTTTTTTTTTTTTTTTTTTTTTTTTTTTTTTTTGTAAGGTATTTACGTTATCGCTACCAACCAAACAGTTGATTTGATAAACCATTCAATCACTCATGAATTAAATTATCTTCCATCGATCAATCAATCAATCAAGCAATCAATCTCTTTCTTCCATCTTTTTTTCAAACAAATAACACAAAAGTTTGGAACTGCTGGAAAGTGGAAAACCACTACAAGCAAAGCTTTCAATTGTGGGTCCCTCTAAAAAATAAATAAACACTTTTCAAACAGAAAATTATTATTGTACAGCAGTGTACTGTACTGTATAGAGAGTATTACATCACATCTACTCATAAGTTACAGATAAGATGTGTTGGTTTTTCTATAGTGTTTTATATATTTAATAAAAACCCATTTGATATTTTACCTCAGCCTCAATTTGGTCTTATTTTGTTCTTAAATTTTAAGCCTCAGTGTACTTATAAAGTGTGTTTTTATTTTAAAAAATTGAAACCAATCAAACTAAAGAAACACTTGGCGTGTGTTGAAACTAAAAGCAAAACAATGGTTTGATTTTCAAGAGTATATGAACTCTTTTATCAAGAATTATATCGTCTCAAGGTATCCATCAAAAAGTTGGAAAGGTAGCTCCTTGAAAATAACAGTGTAGGCCCGTGTTGATTAAGTTAGTCTCTAAAGTGAACTATTAAAATTTAAAATAATAAGTTAAAACAGTTCGTAAATTTAAAAAAATAGCGCAATAATTGTTTTATTTAATTGACTATGACATTTATAAATTCTCCAACTTCCGACTTTTCCAGAATGAAAAACCTTTGCAGTATTTTTGTTTTTGTTTCCTAATAAATAGAATTTGTTAAGGTGTCCTGGCTTGGTGGACGTCAGTTCACCTGTATAAGCCGCTAATAATAACCGGGACCATCACTCATTCTTTAAAAAGATAAGGAAAATCAGTGAACTTTTCTCATAAAATGCTAAGCCGGCTTTGCTTGACCACAGTTAAGTTTTGTTCGTGAACTTGGATTGAAAAAATGTCAAGGATGAAGGAAATTATTTTGATTGTCTGTGCCAGTAAATAAAAACCAATAAAAACAGTAACAACATATTTTTCTTATTCCCGAATAACAAAAGGCCAAATGTAGTAAATATCCACCAGAACCGTTTCGGGGATCATCAAGTGTTTAAACTTTGTCTACTTTAATTTATATTATTTGATCATTAGAAACAAAAGATTGTTCATGTAGTGATATGCCAAGTGTATAAAGGAGAGAATAAAGAATATTGCAATATCGGATTGCGTAAAAACAAATCAAACACAGACATATCTATTTCGGTTAAAATGATAAAAGTCGAGTTCACTTGGTTTAGTTGTTACCGAAAAATACACATGCCTCTTTGTTTGAGTACTTTTGCTCTGGGTGTAAACGCATTTGCGCATGGCATAGGCCTATCGCAACTCTATGATACGATACCAAAACCTGCCAAAGTTAAATAATGAACATTCAATTCATTTGCGCAGTATTTGCAGAAGGCCCTGGGTTCTTGAGTTTCAGCCTTTTTCTTTAATGTATTACTAGACTGTGAACTTAACGAGGGTCAATGGTACATATTTTTCATTCTATAGAAATAGTGACAAGTAAGTGCCATTGAACGAGTGTCAATGATACTTACTTGTCACAAATTCTATAGCATGAAAGCAAGACCGATAAGCTACGTCTGGTTTTAAAAGGTTTAATTAATTTTGTATTGAAGTGAATGTCCATTTAAATGTAAAATCTAATACAATTGTTCTCAGATACTCTGATAAGTGCTTTCCATCCCAGAACAAGTGTCCAATACACGTTTATCCTTGTCAAGCCTTTATGTCGTAAAAATATAGGCTAAGTATAATCCACGGCGGAAATTATTCATTAAGTTAACACTAGATTAAGGAATGTATGTATAATGTATTTCGGATACCAACAACGCTACGTACGAGATCCGATATCACCTCCAGGTCAGAATGATGACGGTGACTGGCATGAAAGCCAACACACAGGTTCCCCGACCTCCAAGTAAAGATCCCTTTGGGACCGGGGCTTTCATAGTCTTTAGCAGTTTTGTTTTGATTTTCAATTATAAAAATAATTTAAAACTAAATGAGTTGTTCAGCCAGGGGGCACTTAAAGTCTTTGATTGGAGGTGGTCTTTACAATTGGAGGGATCTTGATTTAGAGGAAAAACTTATTTAATTACCTTATTTAACCTGCACCAGTATTACGCAATCAGATGAAATATAAACGTCCTCGAGATAAGACACTGATCAGCGAATGACTGACTGACTGATTGACTAGGATTTAAGTGTGCGTCGCTCAATGGCACTAGCCTATATGTATGATCAATAACCGAGACAGATAGGCCTACGGCATGCACTCTCACACGGTTAAGCTTTGAGTCTAGAGTCGTTGCAAGAGTGGGGTACTTTTGAGAGCCCGTGTGGAAGAAGCATCTGAGCAGGAATACCAATCGCTGCAGTAACGAAGGAATAACCTTATTGCTCCATGCTGCAGTATACTCAGTGTATGTTGCAGCCTACTTCCAGACTCTTGTACCGGTACCCCTTCTTCGCAGCCTCGGCCCGTTTTTACGAAATCTACGGTATGATGTAATCAACCGTTGTTTGGCGCAACATCAACAATAAAAAAAATTGAATCACACGCATATAGCCCACATCTAGTCAATAATTAAACAGGTAAGCCTACGGACATGACTTGTTGCCTATTTCAACTCAACTTTTGTCATCACTTATATAACTTCACATGATGGAATGTAAATCTATTTAGCAGTCTATCCAGTACAATAAAACACGTCATTACCATCTAACCTCATATTTAAACTTCTGTATAGGAATTCATGTACAATCACCTGTCCCACAACGTTCGACCATAGTCTGACATATCGACTGCTCTGGTTGTGTTGCAGATTTCGATACAGCAATAATGTCATACTTTTCCCTCATTTTAAATAGTTTCAAATGAGCCTTGCATCATGTCATTGGCTGTGGACCTTGTCAAACATTTAGATAACCTATATGCACATGATGAATAAAAAGTATAGCCGCGTTAGTTAACAACTGACCAATCAGAACTGTCCATTACACTAATAAAGAGCGCGCGTTACTGTTTGGACATAGCGGGAAACAACCGCTTTAAATTATCTTGAAACGACGATAATTGATAAGGAACATAAATTATTTATTTTTACATTTCAGTCTGTCAACTACATTCCAGTAACGGCATAATGATTAATGGAATCATGACACAGACTACATCATTGACATTCTCGAATATTAAATATTGTCATTAAAAACTAATATCGTCTGCTCGATATTTAACAGTCAAGCAGACGTCAACAACAAAAAAACAAGACACTTCAGAGTTTATGCTACATGCTTTCAATACTATGAATTTTATTTTCCAAAGGCAACACACGTGTTGTATTTTTTTTTCACGCGGAAATGCTACAGGTACCGCTTACTGTTCCCAAAAGACTTTGTTTAGATAGACTACTGGCTTATGGACAATTTATGACGAACTATTGTATACGAGGGAGGGAATCCAATAAATCTGGATGATGCATTCCGTCGTTTTTTTTTTTATACATGATGATTAGGCCTACATGTAAATTGTGGTTATGGGAATCATTCGAGGTAATAACTGGTCATTACTGTTTTGTGGTTATTAAAAATATAATTGCAGGGGAAAGGTCCTGATGTTTGTAATAACGAGGCCAAAATAAAGTTAGACTAAAGATTAACGAAATTCAATTCAATGTGCACAACATACTTTATTGTCATCTGCAAAATTTGGCTGGTTGGTGTTAAGGTCTCAGAAGAGACATAAACAAGAATTTTCAAACATTAGCAAGAGTCGCTGTTACAGTAATTTGCATTTCCGGATTATGCTGTGTTTAAACTTTGTCATCAAATTTTCTTGATAGGCCTACTCAGTGTATACTACATTGGCCTGATGGTGAATGCTATCATGGCATCGGTGACACCATCTGGGGATGGTTTCTTATACCATAGATCAGTAATTAAACCTTGCTTTTAAAAATGTGTTGTCAAGGTTAATAACATTGTGTGATTTCTAAAATAATGTAAAGAAATATTAAACGTGACGAGGATAAAATCAGTCAGCACCTGCCGCCCATACTTATAGAGTCACGTGTTACTGTTGAAATGGGCATTATCATCCCCTTAGCTATGTTATTAAAATAACTTCAGACTTGTGGTTTCAGACTGTGGCATTCTAGAATTTTAATTCCTAAATTGAATATAAATTAGTTAGTTAAAGGTAGGCTAATGAGTTTTATCTTTGTGAATCGTTTATAATTGACATATTATCCCTGGCTTAGGTTGCAAAGTCGATGTTTCATTATTATACCTAAAGAATACAAGCTAATTAATACGGTATGTAGGCCTATTAGTATTGATTATTTTTATAATAACAATAGCCTATTCTCGAATCTAAAACGACTGTTGAACTTACTGAATAATTCCAACTATAATTTATAAAACCGTACCAGGCTAATTGATAAAATGCAAATACTTTATACACAGGACGTAAAAAGAAATACTAACTATAAATTTTAAGAAATGTTCGTCAAACCATTTAATTTTCACGAGGTTAGTTGAAAACAGGTACGGTATTATAGGCTACTGATTCAATACTGAATCTTTGGTACCATATGCCAACGGGAGGCACAAAAAGAAAACCACACATATTTTTAATGTTGTCAATACACAGGCCTACTTTGATGATATTCATTGTGTTATGCTATAATATTAATAAGATATAAATCATGAATGTATTCAAAGTAGTATTGGAGACCCCCATATTACATATTAAATACATCAGTTTATTTATTACGGTACCAGTATAACCAATCAGCAGAAAAAACATGCGTTGATTGAATTCACAAAAATTTTTATAACCATAGCCGTGATGTAAAGGTACGGGTAAAAAAGAATGATTAATGTGTTTTTGGGCTCACAATTAAATAAAGCAGTGTTCAAATTCAATACATATAGACCTATTTAATAATTAATTAAATTTAAAAAAAATGTGAAAGCTCCGTATAGGGAATTCCAAGTGGGGTATTAGACATAAATGTGTTTCCTAAACGCTGAACACCATGTCAACCACAAATTTCACTAATAATCGGATATTTCAATTACAAAATTACCCTTGGGATCGAATTGCTACATATATGCCAACGGGAGACACAAAAAGAAAACCACAAAAATGAACAGGCGTATGTTTTTAATGTTGTCAATACACAGGCCTACATTGATGATGTTCATTGTGTTATGCTATAATATTAATAAGATATAAATATGATAGGTTCCATTAGAATGTATAGACATCTCCCATATGTACTATACATTACTTAAAGCGTGTACAGTGAAAGTCTAATTGACGAGTTTCCTAATAATGTACTGTATTAACAGGGGACACATCAACTTTATAAAAAAAAAAACAAAAAAAAAAAACGAATATATCCTAAATTTCCTGCACTTTCAGATAAAAATCAACAATACATTTACTGCACCAATAACAAATTTCCGGTTAATTAAATGATTATGAAGGAAATAATTTTGCAGACTTAAGTTGCCGACATATAAGAAAAACATTTCCATCCGTTACGAGATTATTATGAATAATTTAGAATCCATCATCTCGAAAAATTGCACAATCAGTGCAAATTGGTCTCTCCTGACTATCAGTTAGACATCAACTGATCGGTAGGGCCAGAAACAAGTGCACGGGCTATAGGGACACAGGTCTACACGTCCCACAAAACACATATTTGGAGTGCATCTAAAGCACATGTGTTTAAAACAATAGTAAAGTGGCCGGGCTTAGCAGAAAGTTCCATTACCATTAGAGGTACCTATATCGGGTGGCAGGCTCATCTTTTATTAAGTTCAGAAAAACAATATCGAGTATTTGTGGCAGTTGTGATGTTAGTAGTAAAAGGAAGTACGGTACTGTGCTTGGACAATGGGATAAAAACTTAAGTATATTATATAGAAAGTTACGGTAAATAACTAAATATACCGTAAAACCTCGAATTAAAGCCCTGTTCCTTTTTTTTTCTTTTTTTTTTTTTTGGCGAACTTTGGATGGGCTTCTTTTCGAGGCTACTTTTGCAAAGTAAAGAAGGGGTGAGGGGCTTCTTTTCAAAATGAATGCTGTACATTTTGTGAACTTGTACCATGAAACAATAAATACCGGTACAGTAAGTCCACTGTAACATCAATCTGCATCATGGAGTGTATTTAACTGGCACTAAATCACCAAAACTACCGTACTGTATAAACCAAGCTTGTTTTTAATTTACTTTATTTTTTGAAATTCATGTACAGTATATATACTGTACTATCTCGAAAAGAAGCCTATGCTATCTTGAAAAGAAGCCCATGGGCTTCTTTTCGAGGCTAATTTTTCAAACTAAAGAGGGGGCTTCAATTCAAGATGAGCTTCATCTGGAGATTAAGCCCATTGGGCTTCAATTCGAGGTTTTACGTTATTTTATAAATATCGGCAATCTTGTACTGTACTATACATGTACCGTAAGCCTATGTATAATATTTTTCAGACAAGCTGAAACGCCAGCCAGTCCGTTTGAGTTCATTTGTTTGCCCGCGGATCATGGGAGGTCTTGCAACGCCTTTTGGTTTTCAATTATGAGTAGTCTCCAAACACATTCTGTCTCACTGGGGATTCCCAAGATAAACTTGAATTAATGTTGCTTACAATTTCATTCATTAAAATTACGTCTACCCCCTCTTTTCATAGGTGCAAAGCGATAAATTAAATACACTCATTGTAGTTTCTTCGCATAAAGTCCGTCCCAGACGTCTCGTGAAAATGTTTGAATCAATGATATGGTATAGTGATCATTTCCGTTCTTTCAACAGAATATGATTGAAAGAATTGATTGAATGATTGATTGGTCCAATTCATTTGTGTAGCAATTATTATAGTACGGTATGTGACCAGACTCCCTGTCTCTATATACAGCATAACCTCTCATAAAGTTCAATGTCATAATCACCTAGTAGCCTATGAAAAATGAGCCCCATAGTAGATAACAGTAAATTGGGTTAAACAAAATTGTATAAAAGTGAATATGCTACATAATATGTCATTGTGATAATTTCTGGATAGAAATGGACTACACTGAAAACTTCCTTTGTTTTGTTTACTCAATGATTGTGACGCACATTTTATCAACGCGTTGCAGATATATTTAGAAATACCATAGGCCTAATACATAATTAGAAAACATGAACGATGAATTGGTTGATGAAACAATAGTGTTAAGTTTCATAAAATAATCATGTAGGCTACTCCACGCCTTAGGCTTATTACGATGGTTCTGGAAGTTTAGGCCTGCATAAACAATAGTGGCAAGAAAAAAATATCCACTCGTTGCAGACCAATCGATCCGAATTGGTGTAATAGTACTATTATGTTTATTATGGACTTGTTGACCTATCATTACTTAGGATGCGGAAAAAAGAGGATACTGTATTTTAATGGGAAGACACATTTACCGGTACCCTAGAAGCATACGATCGGTGAAGGCCATGCAAGTAGTTGTGTAGGCCTATGTCATTTTCGCACACCTTTTATTAAACCATGATAAACTAAAAAAAACGTCTAGACGCTAAAACATCGTAAAGTGCATGACCCTTAATGGTTTATAGAGGCTGATGATCGATAATTATTTCCGCGAAACACAGTGATTATAATAGGCCTAAAAAATGGGACGTCATTAGGTTAGATGTCGCGTATGGAAAATTTCAGTAAGTTAGCATGATAATTTTGTCATGTAGCTGCCATTTTTTGCCATATAATGGAGAACATCACTGTTTTTGCTTCCTGTGCAATTTTCAATAACGTCATATTTTTGTCTCCACCTGCTGAGCGCACTGATCATAACTGTTAAAGTGTATGCATACAATACAAGGGGTCTGTGTTAATTTATAATAATAGATTTATGTTTGATTGCTTTCATTTATATGAATGTTATATCTTTATAACATCCGGTATGAAGAATAAAGAGTACTGTGTGCACAAACGTAAGCAACACCGTTTTCTCATAATGTAACAAGCATATTGGTAACTGATAAAAAAAACTAAGGGTTATGTCACATATGGCATCCGTAGAGGCATGGAGCCAATATGGATCTATGGTCGGGGTGACATTATGGCTTATTTGTACCACATGTATACCATATGCAGTAGGCAAGTAAATTTAAAAAGCAAAACAACGTGGGCCATTAAAGCACAACCAGTGGCGTAACAATGAGGCCGGGGGCCCTGTGGCTTTCTAAAAACTGGGGGCCCTTTTTGGGGGTCATTTTTAGGTCCCGGTCGCCAATTCTATCGTGGGATTTTAGATGTACTCGTTTTTTAATCATGTTTGCATTGTTATTCTAAACAACGAATAAATGATATAATATCAGTGGCAGATCCAGGTACAGTATTTGAAATAAAGGTGCCAGGAAGGGACTTTCACAGTAGGAGAGTCTATACTACCGCAGCTCCACCATGGTTGGGGCTGAGGTAAGATATGGCCGAAAATGGCACTCACCGACATAACATTGTGAACATGATTTTCTTTTTATCTCCATATAAAAACATTTTGACAAATTTAGTGGGGCCCCGGGTCGGCAGGAGAGACACATTATGTTGTTGGCCTGGGTAGAAAATGTATGATTATAGCACGTCTAGATGGCTGGAAATGGCACTTACAGACTTAAAATCGTGAAAATATTGTCCTTTTATCTCCATTTTAACATTTTGTGACACATTTGGTGGGTTCCTGGGCCGACAGGGTCCCCATCCATTTAATATCCACCAGTGGAAATAATATGATATGCCTTGCAGTCGATTTCAGAAGCACATTATGGTTTTATGTATCAACAAAGTCCTTTTTGGTCAGGGTGCTAGATCGAGGAAGCTGGGTAGGGTCGGGGGTCCTGCGGACCGCCGCATGAGAGTGCATAGGCGTTACGCCCCTGTGGGCACAACTCGAGTTTATCTACCAAAGACGACGTTTCCATTTCCTATTTCTAGGCTTACAATAAAAAGTTAGTCAGATTAGGCCTAAATGTTGATTGATAGTAAATACCAACTGGCAGTTTACTGCTTACCTCATTTGGAATGATTTGTCCATGCCTTCCTTTAATTTAAACGTATGGGTACCAATACCCGTCACCCAGTTTTCCTCTAAACTCAAATCTGTACATTGGTACCCCAATCGAATTTTGGGGCCAACACAGGAGTCGCATTCTAAATACGATTCACCCCAAAGTTTTTTCCTGGAATCGATCGCCGTTTGTGTACAATCATTGTGAGGTTTACTGTCCCTTCGCCACGATACACGATACGACACTCGAATCTATATATCAAAATGAAGAGAAATTTTGTTTATTTACAATCCAAAAATATAAAAATTATTAAAGCACACCGTATTGCGAGAGTGCAAACGTGCATAAGGTACGTGAGCCAAACGCACATGGATACCATTGCATGCATCACGCAACCGTGATTATATACCAAAGTTTCCAAAATTTAAAGAGGCATATAGGCATATTATGTTTGACCTTTTTTAAAAATAGTTTATCTATTAAATTAAGTTCATTTCCACTTAAAATTTGACTCAAAAACCTGGAACGTTTAAAAAATGTCATGACACGATTTATTGGGCTAACACGTAGCTGCAAATTTGCACACGCATTAAAATTGTACGAAAAAGATAAACAGTACATTAATAGGCGTTTATTATAATAAATGATTATAATTAAAGTACAGTGAGTAAATACTCAAAAATATTAAAATATGTCATGTACATCATTAGCATAATGAAATATCAAACATATAGAACGTTTCGTCATTGATGATCGTCATTACTCTGCCCGCAGTTATATTGAGCCTGTATTAAGTACCGTATATTATTAAGTGCCATCCAAGAGCATGAAGTAGATTTAATACATTAGTTTCGCTCTTCGGCTTAATGTATGCTGAACATTTATAGCATAATGAACAACTTGAATGTACGTTAAAGATGGATAATTACAATTTTGATACGCCTTTTGTAAAATACTTCGTCGGCAAATTATGTTACCTGAGCATATTACATTTACATCTGTCAATTTTATATCCAGGTCATTCCAATAATTTTATATAAAAAATTAAATTGCCCCATGGAGAGATATGAACGCAAACAAGTGACTTTTTTGGGACAGAATGTCGCTATATGTCCACCCACCCTGTGGTTTGTACATCGTATCTGATAGATTCTCTCTATAGACAGAAATATTGGACAAAATATTTGACCGTCTGAAGGCAATTTACTCAGTATTAATAAATTTCATGAAAAAATGTGTCAAAAGTGTGGGTAACGGGTACCCTGTTGTGGTAAATTAACGTATTTACGGGTTATGACATTTAGGATGATTTTATTATCTAATTTAAATTCCAAATATCAACCGTCTCTCTTCATGCTTCGACGGTGCAGACATTTTGTAATTTATGGAAATTCAATATTTTTTCTTCGTAGGGTGAATATTCGATTTAATGATGTGCACTTACTTATTCGTGTATATTAAATGAATGACATAAGACGCTACTTCCTTTTTTTATCATTCTTTTCAATAATTACGTCTTTTTAGGAGGCCTATTATATTAGTGTTTATAAAGTGATATTGCTATCCTCATCTCCATTTTAAATTTATATTTTTATTTATTATATCACTATCATCTTTATTAATAAAACCATCAATAATAATGTCGTTAATAATAGACACATGCCTATTATTAAATAGGCCTATTATATATTATCATTACATGCCTACTATTAATTTAAATAATGTGTAGCCATTACATGCCTACTATTAATTTAAATAATGTGTAGCCATTACATGCCTACTATTAATTTAATTAATGTGTAGCCTATACATCTGGCTCGTGTGCACTTTGAAGAAACCGTTGCATCTTTCGGAAGAGGCAGGGGCTTACCCGATGCTATGGTTCACTTCAGTACCTCTCGTTGTGGGTTGATGAAACATGAAGCTACTATAAGGACCTCTTTACGGTGGGCAGGTAGTAACGGACCACGCCCATACGCTATTAAAACTCAACACAATGATGCTGCAAGATGGGTTATTTACCTTGGATCATCATATACGGTATTTTTTATTAGACGTTCTTCGTTGTATGTGAGACCATCATTACCTTTAATGTTCGCTACTTCACTTTTAAAGATTGTCCTATTTATAGTTAGTGAAAAGGCGCTACGGAAATACAGTGGCGTCGAGAGCCAGTAAGGGCCCCGGGGCAACACCTCACATGGACCCCCCCCCCCCCACCTCACTTGGGACCCCAATCGGCCGCTCCCCAAATTAAGTCTCCTCCTAAGACCCTATTTGTCCAAACCCACATACATGAATATGATTCCATATGATTATTTTTTTGCAATGTAGATGTATCAGAATAATCTGATGAATAAACGAGAGATTTCAAGACGGTGAAGGTTTGGAAGGGGAGAGCATTGGGTTGTCTATTCCCCTGGGGGATTATTCATCTAGTAATAAAAATACAAAAAGACTGAGAAAGACGCCCATAAAACCATAGTTTGTTCTGACAACAAAAGTTTTCATCTTGGCTTGGGCTCGGACCCTATGGAGATTTTGTTCTTACCCCGAAAATTGTTCATCTTGGTCCGGGCCCCAGAAGACCCGGGCCCCAGGGCAGCGACCTCTCGACGCCGCTGCGGAAATATGTTCTCCACTGTGTATCCGTATCATACCTCCATGTTATCATGAATGACCCTGGATTTTTGCCATGCCAACCAGGATACACTCAACAATTAATTCGAATTATCACGTAACATTTCAGTGATACGTATGGAATTCCGAAGTGCTCAACTCCCTAAATCGGGACTGTAGGTGTAGAATTTGTCACTATACGTGTATGTTAACATGCAAGACTGTTGGGCATTTTTTTTTATCTCTTTGTTGGGTCAATTTTGGATCCAGGCCACCATAACGTTTTACAAATCTTTCATCATTGGTACATTTCATCTCTTTTATTGTTCAGAATAAAGAACGAGAACTAACTTGCCAATGGGAGTCACAAAAAGGTAATGAACTGTTTCTCAAACACCCCACTTAATGGCGCTGTATTATGGAATACTGTATAGGCCTATGCCTTATTTAGTCGCGTCTTTCAGATACCAATTTCAAGATTGTTGAGCGGGGATTAAGATACCAAAGTTTTCAAAAGGAAGATAAACAAATTTCTTCTGTAGACTAGACAGTGATGTCGCCACTCTGGAACTCAAGCATGGTCACATAGGTAAAATACACAGAGATTGAGCACAAATTTTGAAAAGATACGCTTTAAGAGGCTGTTGGACAATCAATTGAAGTATGTGGTACCCGTTTGCTTTCTCTAAAGTGTGGTATAACATATGGCTAGTAAATAATGAATTGAATTGGATACGTTGACTTTGATTGAAGTTCAGATTGAATTAAAGCACGGGATATTATAACGAGACCTTTGTAAAATTATTGTAAGGAATTTTTGGGATGGCACTCTCCTTTCAGTTCTAGAAATGTAGATTCAATCACTTATGATTTTAAAAATCAAAAGGTAATTTTATATCATCTTCAGCAAACAAAGACAATCATAAAGAGTACGGTAACGAATCAAAAAAATACTTACAAATTTACCAGGGAGCAAAGAAAGCGGAATAAACTATTGCATAAAGTGTACATAAGATAGGCATACATCATGGTTTGCCTCACCGTTTTGGAAATTAGACTTATTAATTGATTTTATTTAAATGAGCAATTAAAAGTCTTAATTAATTTTTATGAGGTAACCAGGCAGTATGCCACACTGTGTCCCAATAGGTCTAGGCTTTTTTTTAAGCAGGATTAGTCCCACGAAAAAACAAAATCCAACGCAAGCACCTCAACTTCAAGGTTAATTTAAATGAGCGCTAAGATGGATTATTCCAAAACATTCACTAACGATACACAGTATCACTAGGGTCTAGGCCTGGGGATAACTTGATGTTCCTAATTGAAGGTCGAATGGTCTTGCGAATGTGGATCTTTAAAATAATCTCTATTTCAAATTATTTCCTTCTTACTCATACACATACACTTCTTTTGATGTAAAATTCAACGTTCAGCAAACTAAGTGTCGAGGATACTTCTAATAAAACAAGACCTCGAGATAGTTATCAAATATATTGGCAACGAAATCATAGAATATATCGCAGAATTTGTTATGTGAAGTAGATCCGTTCAAAGAAGCTACAATTATATGACAAATGAAAGCCTATCAGTTACGATTTTCAAACCTTGATATTAATTCCTTGTCCATTAATATATACTTGATCATGAGTAATACATGAACAAAACCGTGCAATACCGTAATATAATTTTAAAAGCATCTCTTTTGAATTGACACATGAATTAACAGCAGGAATCCAAAACATCAACATCGCGTTGTTTTTTTTTTATTATTGCCACAGAGAGAAGGCCTAGGACTACTCTATTTTTCTGACAATTTTATATACACTAACAACCTCACGAATATTCATGATAACAGTATACCTTCTTGTGAGAAATGTAACCTGTTAAGATGCATACCAAATTAATAAGATCTAATAACACTTTAAGTACCTACAGTATGTAAGGCCCCATAAAAAAAATTATTAGTTTATCACCCGCTCCCTCATCACTTTTGGGAAAAATCTGATTTTTTTTTTTTCAATCAACATATATTTTCATTTCAAACGGTTTTTTTTCCATCTTTTTTAACTTGAAAAGCTCAGGGTTTCTTGCAAATAAACATATTTTTAAAATATAAATTTGATTCCATTCTTATGACTTTTTATATATGGGTCTCTAACCATTGATTTACTTGTGATCATCGGTAAAATGGGGGCGGGATTAGCAATCAGTTTTTATTCTTTGATAGGGTGATAAACTAATAATTTTGTTTATGGGGCCTATAATGTAAAGACCATCAAAAGTGACAGTTTATATAATATAGGCCTGCATCATGAATAAGATTCCAACGTATCTCTACAAGAGATCCCCACACTCACAAGACTCCATTGCCTAGGTATATCCGTTTTAAATAGATAAAGAAAGAAATGATGATCTCATGGCCTGATTAATTTCGAGCTGCATTCATTCTGTTGAAATACAAACATTTTTTTGAATTTATAGAAGTTAATCCAATAACGGTAACTTTTGTTTTGTTAAAGTCTTTTTCTTTCACCCCCCCCCCCATTTAGTTTATGTTTTCACTTTATTGTTACAGTTATTATTGTGTTTATGTTTGTTATGAAATGAATCAATTTTCAAAAAGTCCATAGGCATGCCACGTTTTCCTAAAGTGTCAACACTATCAGTTTCTGTGGTAATTTTCTGTGATTTGTATATGTGTGTACCTGATGATGTCATATTAGTCCTAAATATGGGCAGGATGAAGTATTATAATTATGTGAGAAAACCACAGGTATTTCTTACATAAAACGTGATGGTGTGGATAGAATTTTATTTCTCTCCTTTAACGAACTTTTCTCCTTAATTCAAAACAACAGTTTCAACCGCAACAAAATTGCCGTCGAATCGTGACTTGATGCATTCAGTGGTTCACCAGGCGAACAGGATTTGGCTCGCCTTCTCATCGCCCAGATTAATTCCATTGTAGCGGGCGTTGGAGGTAACTGATGTATACAATATACTAATGTTCATTATTCCACATAAACACACCAATACCTAAAGAAACTGTCACACTACAGTACATTACATTAATTATCTCTGCACCCATCAGACGAGTATTAACATATAATGCAGGATTTTATGTAATCAAGGAAGTCATTCATTAAAAAAAATTTCCACACATTGAATTAATTAATAAACATGAAACTGATCCTATATGTTACACAAATGATATGAACTTTTTTCTCTCATCCCTTAACGACCATTTCTTTTTTCTTTACGTAAAAAACAACAAAACCGCAACAGAATTACCGTCGAACCACAACGGTTTGATGTATTCAGTGGTGCACCCGTCTAACAATGGTAGTTTAGCTCGCCTTACCCATCGCCAGGTGAATTATATTGTAAAGGGTTGCAGGTAGCTATATGTACACAATCTGTACCGTAATCCACTAAATGCTCCTTAATCCACGCCGATTACATCAATAGAGTCCCTAAAAACTGTCATATTTACCGATTATGAATACATTGTTATCAATATAGCTGCACCCATAGGCATGAAGGTTTAATAAACCTGACATTCTTTAAAAAAAAAAAAATTAAAAAAAACCAGATCGAAAAAAAAAAATCAAACAATGAAACAAAGAAATTCATGCGCTGATTACACAAACGATGTGGCGCACAGACACGTGCTCACATCAAGCTAAAAAATACAAATTATGATATGTTTTAGGATCTGAAAAATACAAATTTTTGATTGATGTACCAAGATGAATCGGTAAGGCCAACTAGACGAATCAACAAGGATTGTTTAGTTAATATAAATCACACTTGAAGAATAATGCAAGTTTACATTTAAAAAAAACGTTGTAGGCCTTTTACTTTACTATAAATACAGTTCGCCCTCCGATTCGAGAAGACAACATTTTGGACCTGAAGATTTAGGGTGGTCTCGGGGCTAGCTTCGTGTTAAAAGGTTGAAGATTGCCATTTGGGTCTTTGGAAAAGTGGTCTCGAGTTGGAGGGGTCTCGAATTGGAGGGTACATTTTATAAGCATCATTTATGCAATGCCTTAGCCAAGATTTTCAAACAGTGCGGGACAATATCAGGGTGGAGCCACTTTACGCGTAAACCCAAATAATGTTGACCTATTTTCTTAAAAGTTGACCCATTTTACGCACAAATATGAACAAGCTGGACCCATTTTCGTAAAATTGTATCCATTTTAGGGTATATATGAGAAATCTGGACCCATTTTCACAGTGGACCTATTTTATGTATGAAATTGGAATTGCATAATTTGAACCCATTTTTCAAAATGTGGACCTATTCTTTGTGGACCCAAATAGAAAAACAAAACAAAAAACAAATTAATAACAGATCCTATAAGTAATTTAAATAGACCTTCATATACATACAATAATATAATATATATATATATATATATATATAGCCTATGCATATATGTATATGAATATATATATATATATATAAAATGTTTACAGATACAGACTTTTCAATAAAGCAAGATTCCTGTGAAAATGTTTCCAAAAGCTGCCATCAAAACTAATCTGTGTCACCATTTACGGAATAAAAAAAACACGATTCGATACTTCAAATGCAGTCTTCGCGATAAATTCATTATCACTAGCCTCTTAAGTATGTACACATTCGTGAGATACATTAAGAAAAATTATACATCTATAATTCCTTGCTTACCTCTCCTGGATTTGGTCCTGGTTCATAAGTTATATATGCCCCACGAAAATGAGACGCATGACATTCAAAAGCCATGAACACAAACAATAATCCTATTGTGTAAAGATACATGATGTTCCGTTGACTGTCCTTAGTTGAAGTTTTTAATTTCCGCTCCCAAATTGATGTTTAAAACACTAAATTATTATATATTCCTGAAATAATGTGTCTTTTTTTTTCTACCAATCAATGATCTTCGCGTTGTTCAGTCTCCGTGTCGGTAACACTCTGATTGTACACATACCTTGGTGAGGTCTTCTTATAAGAACGCGTCACTGATGCTTAGGTGATTTGTGCATTTCGTAAACACGCCCCCAATAGGGCATGATCACACTTTCCCTCTCTTTCCGGGATATTCTTTTTGTGCCCCGCATAATAATCAACCAGAACGATTCATTCAATGAATGATTCGTCACGCGTGAAAGGTATAATGATTACAGTGATTGTATATCAAAACAGTAGCAAACTAAATGAATTGATTAAAACCGATATGCTTCGTTTAGAATGAGTCGTTCTCTTGCCACACATGACGAAGTACGCACACTTGTATAAAAATAACACGATCGAAATTTTTACGATTGAAGCCTTAAATGATTCACTTTAATGTCTTTCATGGTGATTGTGAGCTGTTAATTGTATATACTTACATAATAGATGTCTAGTTCAAAGGACTCCCTGTAATAAATGTACATAAAATCATCGACAAATTCATTGGATCATTGAGTATGCTGGATTTTTTAAACGTTAAAAAAGAAAAAAAAAAACACATTAAAAAGACTTAGTTTTTACTGATTTACACTAGGCATATCCGTACAAAAATCCTTAAAGTGGTTTACTTATTCAATGTAAAGTTTAAGTCCTAATGGGCAATGGCAGTTGGTCTTTTCTTTTTCAATCTTTTTTTTAATGTTTGTTTTTTAATGTAATGTTCTGAAATGTTGTACCGTACTTGTTTGCCCGAACTATTATAAAATAAATATAAATTAAATATATATCTCGGCGCTGCTGAAAGCGTGTTAGGTCTAAATATTACCGTATTGTGAAATGGTATTGAAATGTAATGATTATATAAAATATCAAATTAAGTTTATATTCCTATATTCGTGTAAATATCCAATGGGCCTATTAGGGAGTTTCGCAAGTTTACGAAAACGATAACCAATACGGTTACGCAATCACACTTTAGACCTTCCCCTACAGTAGCAACAACGTAGACGATTCATGCCTTTTACATGATTTAAGGACCAAATTGAGCTCATACAGCATATTGTCAAGAATATTTTAGGCCCCGAATGACGATAATGATAATGACGTATTCGTTGCCATTTTCGTAAGGTTGCGAAATCTCCCTATTGATCAGACTTTTTACGTCGGTGTGAAATCACAGCATCTTATGAGGATAAGATAGTTTGTTCATATTTGCTAGATCGTGTCAATTGCCTCGATCAAGGACTAATTATATTGATAATTTAAACAATTATTTTTACGGATTAACATATTTTAAGGACATATAAAATAAAGCCTGATACTTTATTATGAATATCTATCATAAAGCAAGCAAACTAGTTTTAATACAGAGTACGAATATCTATTGTATTTTATCTACTTTGTTTTACTATTTGTTGTAGATGTCACGGTCGACGCGAAGTGGAGGTCCCACGTACCCTTGGTCATCGTACCATACATTTATAGACGTTACAAGGACAGGCTCTTCAATTAAAAAGGTCGTCGGTGACAATTATTGATTAGTCTGATGAGTGGGTTAATGTAACTGCAGATCTGGTTACTTAACGTGGGTTTCGCAAGTGTTTCTTGGCCCAAAATATACCGTATCCTTTCATCTTCTTGTTCTGAGGAAGTTACTCATGCGCCATCTCGTTTCTTCCGCTTTATAGCACTTTTGGTGGTTCAAAAATCCGGTGCCTGAAGCCCGGAGCGTGAGTTTATATCCAAGAAAATAACTTTAACGTGAGCGTTTGAAAATTGACTGGTAGATTTTTCCAAACTTAAACTAGTATACTTTTTTTTTTTATATAAGAACACATTTTATAAGAACACTGAGGCTGAAATTGCTTGAAAATTAAGAACAAAATAAGAACAAATTGAGGCTGAGGTAGAATGTCAAACTAGGAAAACCAAAAAATTATATCTGTACCTTATGTGCAATAGGTGTGACTATGTAATACCCTCTATAATACAGTACAGTAGGTGTACCTACCTCCTCCCATTGGGGCCATTATTTAACCGGGGCCTTTTTTGTGGAGCCATTTTTTGCAGGGCCTTTCTTTCAGGGGCCATTTTTTGCAGGGCCGCTTTCACCTCCCAGTACAGTGTATACTGCTGTAAAATTAAATAATTTTTTATGTTTGGAAAGTGTGTAAAATAAGAACAAAATAAGAACATTTTGAGTCTGAAATTGGCCAAAAAATAAGAACACTGAGCCTGGGCAAAATTTTACTGGTTCTTATAAAAAAAAGTGTAGCCTTTGAGTTGGAATCCTATTAACGTAATACAATTTGCCCTTCAATTCGACACCACCCTTGGGACCTGGATATCTGGGGGTGATTTCACAGGTGTCACCTTGTCACAAAAGGTTAGTGTTAATAGATTGAAGATTGTTGGAAAGTGGGGTCTTAGAATTAGAGGGGTCTCGAATTGGAGGGTGCACTATTCCATTGCTACGGAACCACGGACTAAAATCCGGACACGTCGTCTCGACCAACTCGATTCATAGAGAACGCAACGATTTTTTAATTAACAAAGAAAATGCCAAAAAAAACCAAAATGGTGAGTCAAATACTAACTTTAAAATGTTAGAGACAAATTTTGACATACGGATCAAAACGGATATATATGATGCATTAACTGACTGATTCATTGGATGGATATTCAGTAGTTAAAAAACATTAAACAAAAGTACTATATATATTTAATGTGGCCTCAACATTGCATGTATGCTATTGATAAATGAGCTATTTGGTATTATTATTATCATCATCATCATCATTTTCTTGACTGTTAGTCGATTATGTATTGTTGCACTGATTGTTTTATGGAGGGCTTGATTAATTAAATTATTGTATTGATTGTATAATGTTTAAAAAAGAATCTTTTATTTATTGATTGTTTAAAAAAAAAAAGAAATGCCACTGTAAAATTAAATATGATTAACTTGATAGTTAAGGGCATGCTTCTAATCCCATTACATGTGTTCTGGTTACAATTTCTGTCACAGAAGGATGTCTTCCCTTGGCCTCAATAACAGACGTGGTTTATAAAGTATTGTTTACCTACTTTCTTTCAAAAATGAGATGATGAAAGTGAAACAATATTATAAGCTTAAAAATCGACTGTTTAATATTGATAAATGAGCTTTTTGATATTGTTAACTACGTTTGATAAATAAGCTTTTTGATATTGTTAACTACGTTTATTATTTATTTTAAATACTTTTTTTCAATATTTTGAATGAGGGTTGATTATACATTGTTGCATTGACAGGTGTATGGAGGGTTTTGATTAATTTATTGAATGTATATCTTTGATATGTAATTTTAGTCATTATATGAATTAAAATTATAGCCTATTGTTGTTTTTAAAATGTGAAGTGGAGTTGATTAGCTTGATAGTTAAGAGGCTTGCTTCTAATTCCAGAGTTGTGGTTTTAATTCCTCTCATAGTACTTTTTTTTCCACGACTAAACTCAACTTCACTCCCTAGACCACAATGATAGACTTGGTTTATAAAGGATTGTTTAATCCAGGTGGCAGATGTGAAGGAAATATAAAAATAGTACTAACTTAGGATAAGTGATAAATATGTCAGTAGTAACAAAACAATATTGATGTTCAAAGATATGAAGGAACAAATAAAATTGGGACTACCCCACAAAAGAGAGAGAGAAAAAAAGGAGAACGCAACGCGATGTGGCGCACGCAAAGAAGTGTTTATGCGTTCCACGGCCTCAAAGATAGTCTTGACCACCGTCAGACGACGTCGGTTGAGTGTCGGCTGAAGCAGTGTAGGCCCTACACCCTACCAAATAATAGCCCCTAATGGGACCAGTGCTCCTTCTGTGCATGTCTTTTAAATTGCTAATTAAAAAGCTATATTAGACCCAGTTCTCATCTGATACCTTTCATAACTGTAGGTCTACACGTTTATAATACAGTTTCCTTGAAACTAATAACTATATGCACACATCGCGTTCTTTCATTCCAACATCGATTCAACAAGGGACACACAGATTGCGTTAAAGTGGGTCTTAACGAGTAACTCACTGTGCGCATATTCCAGAGGGTGCGTCTAGAATAATTGCGAACTACGTTGCATCAAAGCGAATCACCTGGTAAATAGCTCAGAATATTGTCATTTTAAATAGGCTATAAGCAGAAAATGCAGGTTCTTCAAATTATGACATTAGAATGTCCTTGACATTGGTTAAAGAGTTTATTCTTAATCCATATTATTTCACCTCAATCCATTATATAAGAATTATTATAGTATTCAATGGCCAGTCCATACTTATTAATACTTGATTAATTAATCCAATTAGATTAAAAGAAAATGAATTAAAACATCAACTGGACATAGCGAGTATGGTCTAGGCTGGCAGGTTGTTTTGTAGGACACTTTCTAGTCCTTAAAAAGTTCTCACAGAACTAGAATTGCTAAAAAATATATTGTTTTGACGGTCTAACACTGAGGTTTTTAGCAAACCAACTTTCGATAATAAACAACATCACATGTTAATGTTTATTCACCGTTAGCTCTGCCTATGAATAAAATTCCGATAGCAAGACAATGCCGGATATCTCTGACAATCCCGTGGCCTTCGTAGGGGAAGACTGATGTAGGAACATGAACTTACCTTAAGGCCCAATAAAAAAATTATTAATTTATCACCTCCGCGCGCATGTATTCTATGGTACTGAATTTTTTTTTTTTTTTGAAAAAAAAAAAAAAAAAAAAAAAAAAAAAAATTTCATTTATTATATTAAATAGTTAGTAGATATTGTTTGCATTATCTAAATCATGTTTTATTTTGAATATCAATGCACCAGCAATCAACCCAGGGGTGATATTTGGCTTTAGCAAATTAAAAAATTTAAAAAAATCCTCCCTCCCTCATCACTTTTCTACCCAGATAGGGTGATAAACTAATAATATTTTTATAGGGCCTAATGCAACGAGATGTCATGATCATAAAGATACAATATAGATAATTAATAAAATAATA